TAACAGAATAATATTGATGTAAACATGATACAATTTTTCAAATATTTCAAAACCATAAGATTTATAAAGCTTTTATTTCAATTCATGTCTGGTTTTAGTGATATTAATTGAGGGATTAAATTCTACTAAAAGTTCTAAAAATTAAAAATTTGAGGGATTCTCTTTCTACCTTTAATTATTATTAATATAAAACTTCTATAATATTATTTAGTTTGAATCTCCAAAATTAAATCAAAATTGACCCGGCCTTAACATTAATATCGTTTATTTAAACTTCACTTTATCATGATACTATATTATAAAATATGAACATAACGGATTAATTAATAAACTTAATACAATATTGTATTGATCAAGCAGTTACAATAGTATGTAGCAAAGGCACACATGGAGAGGGGAACGAGTGAGGCACGTCTCCTTAGAAAATAACGAAGTATGGAAAGAAATTATATGTACTTTAAATCCATTTATTCATTTCATATTTAATACAATAATTTAGATTCTAAAGACTATACATTTTTGCTTCATGCTAATTAGTGACTTATAATTTAATGTGCATACAGAATAATAGGTTTTAAAATCTAGTTTCATTTTGCTCCATCTCTCCCTTGAAAATTACCATATGGGTGTCTATATTATGAAATTTTATTACAAATACTTAATAATGATAAAATCTGTAATTATCAGAATCAAAAATAAATAATTCAATCAATCTATCTATCTTCACCAAATAAAATCTACGCCGTCGTACGTATTAAACCCCTCAATACACAAAGATCCAAAAATTAAAACAAAATTACATGTAAAAATTTCAAAAAAAATTCTACGCCAAATTAGTTAACTACACTTGTCAATTATATACATCAACTAGTATCTAACTTATCAGMGAATTCATCCCAGATAACCCTTCAAATTGATTAATAAGACACTGGTGTTGATATCTCTTAAACCTCAACCTTTGTTAAACAATTAAAAATTTCTCTCTTTCAAGTCGAAGAGTTTTTACACTGGTGGATCTCCTTTCCCACTTAATTTATATTGTTAAATACTAACTTTAGTTGTAACATTTACTTATTATACACAAATTACAGATTGTAAGTATACTTTTGTTAAATATATATATATATATATATATGTATATTATATCATAACTATGGTAGGTACTAGGTATTAAATATTTCTTAAAAATAGTTTTTTTTTTTAAACTTAATTATAAATACTTCAAAATAAAAATATCATTTACAAAAACTGAAGGAAAATGGTTCATCATTTTCGATTTCTGGTAATATAATAAAGTCCAATGATGCCAAATTAAAATTTGGATCTGAAATTAATACATCTGTAATTTCTGGAATATTGGAAATCTTA